TAAGACATTGGTGTACGATGAGTTTGTGTGAACGTGAGTTCCTGTGAACTTGTGTACGATGCTTGTCTTGCATGATAACTGTTCTCTTTGAGACCTATCTTTACCTACCAACAGCTGAAGGCCCATGTGAACCGGCTCAAAAACTGCCGAACCAGTGTGAGCATGTTGAAGTGTTACCGCTACTGTTACTGATACTGCGACTCTATGTTCTGAAGACTGAAGCTGACCAGCTGACTAGGAGACTCCTTTCTTAGCGCGAGCAGCGCGATCGTACGGTTTGACTTCCACGATGTCGGGATCCGGGTATCGCGATGATCGGGAGCGCGGACGCGGTGGTGAACGGGAACGTAGCTATGATGACGGAAGGAACAGTAGTTGGGATACAGGACGCGAGCGAGGCCGCGACGGACGACGTGATCGCTACGACGATGAAGTACGCAGCCATGGATACCGCGATGGACCTCGCTGTGCGCCGGTGACCTGTTACGAATGCGGCGAGCAAGGCCACTATCGCAACCAGTGCCCGAGGCTTGCCGGCAAATCTAGTGTACCACGAGGACGATCGACCTCCCCAGGACACGTAACGAGGCTGGTCGCTAGACGATCTTCCTCAGAGGAACCTGTGATCCGCAAACAGCTGGAGGAGTTGACCTCATCGATCGCCAGTATGAAGAACTTCATTGATGCTGAACAGACACGTAAAGAGAAGGATGAGCGCCTGAAGAAGGAGGAAGCGAAGCGGGAGGCAGAACGTGTGGAGCAACTTAGGCGAGAAGCGGAGGAACAGCAAGTAAAGGAGCGACGCGCCAAGAAGAAGGAGGAGAAGAAGAGGAAGGAGATTGAGGCCAGAGAAGCACTGCGCAAAGAGCTGCGTATCGAGATGAATCAGTGGATGGGCGCTATGTGCGAAGGCGTACATGATCGCTTACTCCATACGATGAGATCTGAAGACACGAAGGGTAAAGCAAAGTTATCGGAATACGCTTCCGAGGACTCCAACTACTCGGATGACAGCGAGATCGAAGCACTTAGTGAGCACACTACTCGACTCAACATCAACGACAAACGTAAACGCGAACCTGATCTAGGTGTGGGTGATAGCCCACTTGTGGTGACGCCTGTAAAAAGGACGGCTAAGAGAGGAGTGTTGGATCCGAAGAAGTTGTTGCTCAGTTGCCGACACCCACCTTTGAAGAAGCCATCACCAAAGAGGAAGACGCCGGGGACAGGATCCGCCACTCGACGCAGGAAGATCCCTGCATCCCCGGGCGTACTCGGGAAGCTGCGCTACGTTCAGGAGAACCTCCGCCAATTGGGTGGTCTTAACATGGAGGAGCTGAGAGCGATTTGTCGAAGCGAGGAAGTCGCTTTCGAAAGAAAGAAGATGGATATTCTATTGGCGATCACCGAGAAGCGAGCCTATGTTGCGTACGGCACTAATGAGGAGACCAGGGTGAGGAATGCTACCGAAGAGGTGGTTGAGGAGACCCAGTTAGACGATGCATCCGAAGGAGACAAGGAGAGTGAGGTGTGAGCTAACAGTGACTACTGGAAGCTATGTCGAGCCTTGGTCGTTGAGAGAAGATGTGGACCTTTTGATGAAGCAGTCGAGATTGTCAATCGTCTTGTTATCATAATTTTGGCGTTAAATGATCAGATTAAGTGGTTGAAGAAGTGCGTGGCGACTTGGGTGAAATTGCACCAGCAGCGCGGCGTGAGTGCCTTCAATGGGCAGACCAGCGGTGTTTACCTCCTTACTTCACCAACCTGCCGAGCCCAATACGTGGGCCAGACAGGTAGGACAGGGATTCTAAGGTGGAAAGAACACCTGTCCCATGGTAGGCGGGGAAGCCGACAGACGCACCTCTATCGCTGGTGGCATGTGTACGGAGCGGAATCCTACGTTCTACTACCGTTGGAAGACTGTGCATCTTGTGAGTTGCAAACCCTGGAGCAGCTCTATATCCGGAGATGGTCTCCAGTGATGAACACCTCCGGGACTTTACGTAATGGGAGGAAGAAGAACCGGCGTCTGGGGAAACGAGAAAGGGGAAGGAAGGCCGCAAGTGCACCTGTTATACGAGATGGAGGTACGGCACTACATCCAGTCCAAGCACGCTTACCAGGCAGTGACGACTAGAGTGTGGACATCTTCTGTTTGTTTGAGTTACTTGAGAAGGAAAAGCGGATGAAGTTTATGCTTAAAACGCAAGGAGGCAACTGTTGGTGTAGAGGATGGAAGTCGTTGAAAGCCACCTTCGATAATACCGACGTATCAGTCGCTGGTCAACGCAAGAAGTTACATGTTTGTAAACGCCACTTTGAAGAGGGCGACACTTTGAAAATTTTGCAGCTTAGGCGTTGGCATCCGAAGGTCGGTCCTGATAAGCGCTTCTTATGCAAACTTTTCCGAAATCCTCTACGTAAGGATCTGCTCGGTAGCTGCAGTCTGGAAGCATTGGTGCGCATGATGCGCTCTGCAAGCATTTTCCAAAAGGCGGCTAGTACAGCTTACCTTCGTCGTCTCATATCTGGATCTATCAAGGATTCGTACGGATTTAGTATTAACGCTAGGATTATTGTACGTTTGAAGTTCGATGATAGGGTCCGAATGGTCGAAGTTAGGAAGTTGGCGAACGATTTGATCGAAGGTTTGTCCGTTCCAGTTTGCGTTAAGGATCACGGACGAAGCACTTTTAGAATCGTATGGGTTAAGAACCCCTCCGTTGCTAGCATGCTGCACAATCAGCGTCATTTTGCGAAAGTTGTTGTGTCCACCTGCGTCTGTGCAGGTCTACCCTACCCTCGTGTAGGAGCTCATGTGCTTTTCCGTCTCCAAGAACTGGAAGGGGTGAACCCCTTGATCTGCAATGCGCGCAACGTACCGAAGCTCTCACTACCTTACCGAGGCACACTTCTCGCACAGGAGATTGTTGATGGAATTCAGTCGTGGGTGAACTTTCACGGTGCTACACCCACTGTCACCAGAGTCGAGGCCGACCGTTGCCTAATCGAAACGGTAGATGCAGGTTCTAAGTATCTGGACCCGAAGGAAGTGGAGAAGGTACGTGGAACTTTGGATGGGCTGGTGTTGACGCCCCTGGACAGGAACCCAGGCAAAACCCTGGTTCTGTGTCCACAAGTATATTTTGAGGGAATGATGAGTACATTTGTGATGGCGCCAGACTACGACATTATGGAGAAGAGTGAAGAGGACTTGCTACGGGCGATGCGGGAGGATGCTAGTAAAGCTGCTCTTTTAAACTTCGTATGATGGGATAAGAAGGGGAAGCTCGGTGAATCGTATATTCTGCCGAAGCACAAGGATCTGACCAGGTACAAGCCGATTTGCCCCACCTTCTCGGAACCTACAGTACGCTCTTGCAAGGGTACAGCCAAAGGGCTGAACCATCTGTTGTCTACTCTGCCTCGTGATTGGCACTTCAACTTGAAGTACGTGTCGGACCTTGCTTCGCGCCTGGAGAGTATTAACAAGAAGATCAAGAGGGCTTTGCGTGGCGATACTGAGATCATATCCATGTCTTTTGACATTAAGGATATGTTCAGTAAACTGACATCATTGCTGCTGTTGATTGGGCTACGGACTACCACTTGAGTAGAGGAAGAAAGCAGGTGAGAGTCAACACGAGAGGCAAGGGTTGCTCCTTTGGCCGAACGACTGGTGATGAGCACTGGCGAGCGATTAGCATCGAGCAGATGAGGTGTTTCGTCTGTTGGGAACTGACACACACATATACCAAGGCGACGGGAATTATACTGAAGCAGGTGGTCAGTATTCCCATGGGAAAAAGTACCAGTCCACCGCTTGCGTGTCTGATGTGTGCATTTGGGGAATTTCGATTTTTGAAGGAACTGGGAGTGTTGAGGAGGAATGTATTCGGTATCCGACTAATGGATGACGTGAGCATTGTCATCCTTAGCGGAGGAAAGCGGATCGGGTTGTCTCGTCGGATACAGGATGAATTTCAAACCTGTTATCCGAGTAATCTGAACTTGAAGCGTAATGATGATGGGGTTGGGCAGTGGGATTTCCTTGGCACGACAATGAGTGTCAACACTGTGTACCCCTATCTGAGATGCGTCCAAGCTTCGAGAAATGAGCTGTCCATGTGGCAGTCCGACACCCTGGAGATCAGGAACGGCCAATCCTACAACTCATGGTGCAGTAAGAAACAGCAAAGCGCTGTTATCGGAAGCTACCTTCACCGAATTGACAGCAACACTAACGATAGGAAGGCCATCCCCGCGAGAGTACTGAGCCTGCAAAGGGAGATGAGGCTTAAGAACTTTCCTCATACCTCTCTCGAAAGAATCCTGAAGAGATTTGCGAGGGGTCGTGATGAGATCTGGAACTGGACTTGGTGTTGGCTGTATGGTTGAAGTGCAGAACGTCAGCTGGACGTACGCACATTAAGAACACGTAGTTCTTTTTAGCATTTCTTTTTCTGTATTGTTCTGAAGTTTGTTAGTCTTCTCATACAGGGAGTGCTCTGCCCAGCAGATGTAATTTAGGAGTGTGCAATTGTATTGCTTGTTAGCATGGTTTCTTTCCTTCCTTTTTTCCGAATTGTTTGAATCAGATTTGCATGGTAGCATGCTAATTTTGTAATATGCTGGGACAGGGGCTGTTAATTGTATACTTAGCCTTAACATAGTAGGGACAGGGTTTGTCTCAGCCTTTGCCTTTTAGTAGGTGCCTTTGTGATTCTAGTGCTCGGTTGCCGGGTATTGGTCTCGAGCCCGCGCGCTATAGCCCGTTTTGCATATTGACGCTCAGTTGTCTATGCCTTTCGTATGTGCCTTTTGGATCTTAGTGCCCGGCTGCCGGGTGTTGGTCTTGAACCCGTGCACAAAGCGCACCTTTTGATTTTAGTTTTTTCGGGTGTCACGGTTCGATCTCGAACCAGAGTGCTATCGTCTAGGAATTTTGTCTACTAGCAGTAGTACCGGACTCTTTGACTCTGCTGTCTTTCACGAAGGTTTGCCAATTGCGGTTTTACCGGCTTTGTTCTGTTTTTAGTTTACAGGTTTTACTTTTACTTGCTTTATTTTACTTGTCGCAGTGCTATCATATAGGCTAGTGAACTATATAGCTAATGATTGTCGCGTCTACTGGTCTTTTCTGGGTCCGACGTTTTGTGTACCTGCAGGCGTCTCGCGATGCCGCAGGTAGACGACGGAGGTGGGATGTGGGAAGTTTAGCTAAGTTGAGGGAGAAGAAAGGTGGTTTTTTCCCCCTGAGGAGGACCGCGTGGCGGCGGTCGAAACCGGTCGGGGTGCCATACCCACCGGCGTGTGCAATCATTGTTCATTCAATCATTGTTCATTGTTTTTCTCGTTTTCATGTCTAAGACATTGGTGTACGATGAGTTTGTGTGAACGTGAGTTCCTGTGAACTTGTGTACGATGCTTGTCTTGCATGATAACTGTTCTCTTTGAGACCGATCTTTACCTACCAACTGTTTATTAACCCACCACTGCCACCAGTACATTTCCCATATATCAGGGGAGGGACAAAAATGACTAGAAGCATTTCTAGTCGGATGAATTTGGGTGCTCCCATAGTGGCCCGTTCGTTCATCATTGTCACGGCTTAACCACCGCGACTTTCAGAGGTTCTGGTGGTTTAACAGTTTAGTTACATGTCTGTACCATTCAGCCACATGTTTTTTTTCCTCCATTTCTTCCAAGTAAAGGGGGTAGCCCCTAACATTACTGTTTTTTTTTTTTTTTTTTTTTTTTTTTACTGTATTCATCTGGTTCCATCAGAGTTTGAACTGATGACCTGTTTTCCAACAGTTATATGTGAGTACCATTCAGCCACACAGGCCAGGTAAATTTGATGATTTAAACATGGATGTCATAGGATTTGGGTATTTTTGGAAAGTTCTGCATGAAATTTGAAAAACGGAAAAGCTCTTGTGTGATTTGCTATCACTTAGGGGGATGACAGTAGTTTGTCCTAGTTTACTCTTAGAACGGGTSRGKGGGWAGRGCMCCAGTKGGAAAKGSGCATTAGACACCGCCATGTGGGGTTGGGGGGGGGGAGGGGGAGGTGCAGTGACTGGCCATTGCTCGGCGCTAGCACCGCCGATTTCCCCCATCGGCAATGCCTGCCCACCCCTCATCACCGTGATGAGGGACTGGTACAGCTTTGCTCTCGCACCACAGCTGTGGTGCAAACCTACCCCGTGGGCTGGGAAGAGATCCGGGTTGGTTGGTGTTCCCCCGTACTATAAATAGACTAGTGAGAGGATGAGATAGATGCGTACTACCAAGAAAAAGACAGAATATGAGATCGATGAGAGAAGAATATAGCTTCTAAAAAAAAAAAAAAAAAGCGCATTGTGGTCTGAGTTTGTGGGTTCAAACCCCTAGAGCCTCGTGCATGTACACCAGCGGGCGTTGACCCACGCACAGCTGTTCACACCCTCCCTTGGGGTTGGTCCACAGTAAGGATTACAGACACTGCCTATGTGCCACCCAATGGGTTTAGTCCATGGTTGCTGTGTGTTGGGTCTAGGCTATGAGTGGGTTGCCCGATGTTTGGTTCATGGGGTTGTTCCGGTGATTGCACAATGTTCCCTCACTCAAGCTCAGTATAGCATGCTTCCAGATCAATCAATGTTGTAGCTCAGTAGGTTAACATGAATAATGGTAAGAATGAGGTTCGGGGTTCAATACCAGTTCAGGAAGAAAGTTCTAAAAGATTGCAGGTACAGGGTTATGGAGACCTTGCTCACGTAGAGTTGGTTACCTTAGGACTCTGCTTTGGCGGGGCACGGGCTACAGGTGGGATTATAAGGGAGGGGTCCTGCTGGGAGGAGGGTAGGTAGGACAAACTCTATTGGAGGATATCGGTGGCGAACCTGCAGTTAGGGATGTCTTAGGGGTCCCATTAGGTAGGATTACTAGAAGGGTGATGATACTGGGTGTGAAAACGCTGAAGTAGGACATTTGGAGTACGATATGCTGGGGATAATTATGAGGGTAAGGGTGGGAGGGAGTCTCATAGATCATCTGGATAATCAAATGACCAACTACTGAAGGGACGGTCATATGCATGGTATCTAGCCTCTACAACAACCTGGAGTAAAGAAAAAAGTTAAAAAGAACGGGCAATGGAGTTTTTTGGCAAAACAAGGGTTGAAGGTGGCAGGGATGGTACTTCCAGGTGTCTACCAGTATTAAGAGACGGCTGGAACCGACCTCTCTTGGAAAGAATTTTGGGAGGCGAGATCAGCGTGAGGGTTGGTCTTTAGCACTTGTAGCAGTTTTCTCTGGGATTGGATTAATTTCATTTAAGGAAAAGAGGGATCTCAGGAGGTAGAAAGGTAGTAGGCCTGATGATAAGAAATGGAGGTAGTTAGCAATGGGACGCTGGACCCGGTTTCCAGCACAGGGACCACGGATTCTATCTCCTATTTCAACTTTTAAAATTTTCACAATGTAAGGGACGCTGGACCCGGTTTCCAGCAGGTGCAGCTCCCCACCAATAGATGGAGCCGTAAGGGTTAAAAAAAAAAAAAAAAACGCTACGGTCGTGAGCGCACGGAGAACGAACTGGCCAGCAGGCCTGGCGGTCTTGCTACCCAAGGCCTCGAATCTGACGAGGATGACAGGAGACGTTGACGCCCTCAATGCGTGGAAGGTAGGTTGACCCAGCGGGCAGGGTGGAGGCGCGGTGACACGGGCAGGGTTGGAACACCCTTTAGTCAACGAGCGAATGGTGTCCTTGCGAGTGGAGCGCTGCAAATAACACAACGAGATCCTGCGGCAAACCGGACGATACTAAGGGAGATAGGTGATAAGACTCTCAACACACAATAGCTTCTGCGGAGGGGCGGCGACTCGAGGCGGACCTCTGGCTCTCTAGGCTGAACGAATGTCAGAAGAAACTTCGTGCTATGGCGGTCCTGCTCTCCTCCCATTCCCTGCCCGGTCTTGAGGTTGAAGGGGGAGCAACCTCTGTAACCGGATGGGTGGAGGCGATAGTGCAGTGCATGTTGGAAGTCAGCGAGCCTTTCTAAGAGGGGCCTGCCATGGAGATAGATGCCTATATCGACTGGCACCGAGCAAATCCTTTATTGAGCAATTGTCTTCAGCTCCAGGCTGAAGCACGTGTGTGGGGTGTGGAGGTGATTAGGCGTTTGCAGGCAGCCGGATTTGTAACTTCGCCACTATCACCAACAGTATCGTCAACAGCATCAACAACAGCATCGAAACCAGTATCAACAACAGCATCAACAATGGTAGCATCTACAACAATTTTGACAGTAGTGACATCTCTAATACCACTACCAGTGCT